GCTTCACAAGGCTCACATGAGATCTTAAAGTTGACACCTTTCGAAACTGCGACACACAAGCCTGATGACCCTGCAACGCTGATAGAACGACCTTTCATGAATACAGGTATCAAACCATAGCCCGAAAGAACAAGAAACACATCCAATGGCTATCAAGGTGTCAGCACGTCTCATCACTCTGATCATGAGATCGAGGCAAGAGGGCCCAAGTTTATGCGGGCGTCTACCGCCTCCCCCAAAAAAAACTGCTGAGGGGACTGAGCTGGGGTGTTGTTGAAAATTTTCAAGACACGCTCGCTTGCTTCCCGGCCTTCCACCACCAGTTGGGACCTCGAAGATTTCAGCTTAGGGCAGCCTTCTCAAGACAAGAACTGCCCTGTCCAAAAGTTCCCTTTCTTAGATGCTAAAAAAGCTCCCGAAAAAGCATCAGTTCTGAAGCGTTCTTACATGGATGTTGCTGTAGATCATCTGGCTCCATATGAGCCAACTATATCCACGAACGTGACCTGCGTTGAAAATCGAACTCGCTGTTAGACTCATGCCAAAAGACTTGCTTCACATGGTTTCCCGAAACAACCTCTACATACTTCATCAGAAGCCCTGTTTTCTCAGTGGGACACCAACTGCTACTGAGCACTGCATTGAGCTGAACGACCAAGGCCCTAATCTCCGAAGGGCACCCTATTCGGCGACAAAACCCATATGAGCTGTAGTCTAAACTCCTAGTATCCCCCTTTAATCACCCCGATAATAACCCCCGGTATAATCCCCCTTCGAGGAGTTTTGAATATAGCTCATATGGTGCCAAGACCCACAAACTTGCTGGTTGCTAGTAGGACATGGAGATTTGGATCCCCAAAGTTGCCACCATTGAACCCCCAATCATATACCTTAGTTATGTAGCTCCTATTATTCTTTATAGGCACTATTACTGGGTGGGGGGTCCACCTAACATGTACCAGCTTCCATGCTTGCTTCCGTTCCTTCATTCCCTTATCAAGGGTTTAGAGTTTAGGGTTGTGGGTTTAGGGTACTAACTAGCAGTCAGGAATGGTGCACGTCATGCCGAGAAAACCCAACTGGGAGGGTCGAGGGACTTGGTAAGTTTACATATAACTCGTAGAAGCAAGAAGACAAGTCCAGCTATCTTCATTCTTAACCTCCTTACGAAGTCCCCCTGATAAAAAACACCAGAAACCTGAACCCTAAATAATGTAGTTCCCCTTTTCCTTTCCATTCCTGACTAAGTCCCCCTGACCCTCCAAGATATCATCCTCCCATGGCAGACAGACGGCTGGCACGGTGTGGCCAGCGCCAGCGGAGCTGCGCCAGTCTTTCCTTGAAAACTTGGGGGGGTGCCCTCCGCAAAATGAATCTTTTTGGGTGCATTTTGGTGTTACCCACTAGCAGGAATATAGTAGCTTGGGTTATATGTTGGCCTCCAATTCTTGGAAACCCATTTCCATCTGCAGGAAAGCCAGGTCCTCATGTAGATGTTAGATGTAAAGACATGGGGGCTTCTTGGGATTATGACGCTTATTGGAGACAAAACGTCCGAGAAAAGTCTGGCATCCTAGCATGAATAAGCTGTATACGCGGAACTTGAGAGTTCCTGTACAGGATTCTCATGGTCTCAACTCAAGAACCTCCCACAAGGAAGCCTCCACAAATTTCTATGGCCTCTCCCAACCAGACCCCATTCTACCCCGGCTAAGGTTGCCCCCCGGTTGGCTTTATAGAGAGGGGGGGGTGAGGCAATGAAATTATGAAATTAGAGCTCCCTTTCGGTTGGTGAGGTAAGTAACTCAAAAAATAGAAGTCCCTTTTGGGCACTGCCTCCACCCAGTAACAGCCTGTAATAGGGCTCATAGTAAGGGCTTATATATCTAGCTATTATAGACATATTCATAATCATACTAAGATTATCATCCAACCATTACTGACAGCGGGCTGCATCCAAGGTCCCTTGAGGATGGCTGCTTTACATGCAAGCGCCTCCTGTTTTGCACATGCCTTTTGGGCCCTCGTTCTTAGAAACGAGAAGATGGGCCTTCGAGATTTAGGTGCCCAAGCCTTCTTCTAGCCTGAAGTGAAGGACATAAATCTTTTCATTGTTGGGGGGGACGAATTAGGAGAAGGGCGTCTGAGGAGATGAGGAGGAAAGACAAGGACCCAAATCACACTTGATATTTTTTGCTTTCAGTCCGGCCGACTTGTAGATCCCGTCCCAGTGCCCTCAGAACAGAAGTCTTGTGAGTACATTGCCAGGTTCTATTTGCACAGGACGCAGGATTTAAGAGGCTTAAATCCAGCCAGCTTCTGTTTCCCCAGTGGAGCTCATCGAACTGCAGATCGTTCACGCCGCAGAGGCCTTGCAAAAGCTGGCTGCGCCAAGTAGCTCCCAGTTGTTCTAGACCGGTCGTGGTATTCAACAAAATCAATTACACTAGAGCTTACAGTAGACTGTCCTAAAGCCCCAGTTCCTCCTTGGGTTACAAGAGCCAATATAATCTACCGTAAATTCTACTGTAGTTTCGTCCCATGTGGCACGCTAACTATCAATATAGGGTTTGGGGATATTCTCCCCCAATATTAGCAAATAAATGGAACATGAAATAGAAGCTGTGTTCAGAAGGGTCTTATATGGAAATTTGCAGGTTCCTAATATGAATATAGTATAGGCTACCTCGAATAAACTGCACGCTAATGTTGGAAATGATTTAGGACCACAGAAGGTATCAATTCAGGAACTTGGACTGTTTCTTCTGTCGCACCTAAACTGGGGTAGATGCACAGAGGAGTCAGAGCCTCCTAATCCCGGAACCCTAAACCCCAAACCGCATACCCTAACGTAGACCCAAAATTCATAAACCCCCTCCCAGGAATAGGGATTACTGTATAATAGGGATCCTAATATGAAGGCTCTTAGAAGGAGGGGCTTTATTATCATGGGTCTACACTAGACCGCACTAGTGCAAGATGAGCTGTTCCTACCCCTTTCTCGGCCCTATAGTTTGCAGTAGTCATAAGATAAGCAACGAACAAACTTTGCCACCAATCCATGTTTCCCTTCAAAACAAAGCTGGTAAAAGGCCTGCAAGGGTCCAGTTTAATCAATGATTTCTCCGGAACAGCGCAATGTCTAGTCTTCACCTACCCCCTTAATCATAATACTGTAGAAAACTGAATATCTACCCATGAACACCTCTACATCGTCCCAGTTTCCCTTTCACTCTCAGTTTTCTTTTCAACTTGATTCCCTATTCTACGACTTCGGCATCCCGACACCTAAAACAAACCCTAGACCCTAAACCCT